CAAAACCAGTCCAGCTCGTCCCTGCCTCCCTAACCTGTTCTTCCTCCCACCTCAAGCCACACCCCCATCTCCTACCAACTAACCTCATCCCGCCCCCTTGATCTGTCTGTCCTCCCTGGACTGACCTATCCCCTCCCTAACTCCCCACCTACACTCACCTTTACTGGCTCCATCCCCACCTCTTTGACCTGTTTGTTTCCTCTCCACCTATCCTCTCCTCTATCCATCTTCTATCCACCTCCCACTCTCTCCCTATTTATTTCAGAACCTCCTTCCCCTCCCCCTTTTCTGATGAAGGGTCTAGGTCCGAAACGTCAGCCTTTCTGCTCCTCTGATGCTGCTTGGCCTGCTCTGTTCATCCAGCCCTGCACCTTGTTGTCTGTGGAGGATGTAGTTGTGTTTGAAGCAGTCTTTATTATTCATTTGTGGGATGTGTGCATCACTAGCTGGCTATCATCTATTGCCCATCCCTCGTTGCCTTTGATAAGATGGCCTTCTTGAACTGCTGCACCTGCTGTGAGTTAACTTATAATGCCCTTAAGGGGAGAATTCCAAGAGTTTAAAACAGCAACAGAGAAGGAACAGCAACATATTTCCAAGTCAGGATGGTGAATGACTTGCAGGTGAACTTGCAAGTGATGGTTTTATCTGCTGCCCTTCATCTTCTAGCTGCAAGAGGTCTTTGGTTTGACTGGTGCTGTTTGAGGATCTTTGGTGAATTTCTGCAGCGCATCTTGTAGATAATGAACATTGCTGCTACTAAGTGTTGGTGGTGAAGGGAGTGGACGTTTGTAGATGTGTTGCCAATTGAGTGGGTTGCTTTATGAAGGATCGTTTAAAGTTTATTGAGTGTTGTTGGAGATGCATCCATCCAAGCAAGTGGTGAGTATTCTATCACATTCCTAACTTGTGCCTTTTAAATGACAGACAGGCTTTGGGGAGTCAGGAAGTGATTTATTCACCGCAGCATTCATATGCTCTGACCTACTATTGTAGCCATTGCGTTTGTGCCACTGGAGCAGTTATGTTTCTGGTTAATGGTATGTTGATGTTATGAATATTGATAGTGGGGGATTCAGTGATGGTAACACCATTGAATGTCAGGTGGCAGTGGTTTGATTGTTTCATATTTGAGATGGCCATAGCCTTGCATTTGTGTGGAGCAAATATTACTTGCCACTTGCCAGCTCAAGCCTGGAAATTGTCCAGATCTTGTTTTCTTTCTTCGAACACAGAATGCTTCAGTATCTAATGAATCTTGAGTGGTGTTGAACATTGTGGAATCATCAGCCAGCATTCCCAATTTTGACGTTATGATGGAGCGAAGGTCATTAATGAAGCTATTGAGGTTGGTTGGACCTATGACGCTGTCCAGAGAACTCCTGTGGATACTTCCTGGACCTGAGATGACTGACCTCAAACAACAATAATCAAGTTCCCACGTGCCAGGTATGACTCAAACTATTGGAGATTATCCCCTTGATAGCCATTGATGACAGTCTTGTTCGGGCTCCATGATTCCACTCTCAGTCAAATGCAGCATTGATGTCATACCTGTCACTCTCACATCACCTCTTTTGTTCATATTTGAACTGAGGCTGTAATGAGTTCAGGAGCTGAGTGGCCATAGTGGAGTGTCACTGAGCAGATTATTATTGAGCAAATGTTGCCTATTAGCTCAGACGAAGTTCACAAAATTAATTCCAGAGATGAGGGTTCATCTCATGAAGAGAGATTGAGCAATTAGGTTCTGAAGAAGGGTCTAGACCCGAAACGTCAGCTTTCCTGCTCCTCTGATGCTGCCTGGCCTGCTGTGTTCATCCAGCTCTACACCTTGTTGTCTCAGACTCCAACATTGGCAGTTCCTACTATATCTCTATCTTTGAGCAATTAGTTATATACTTTTTAGAGTTTAGAAGAATAAGAGGAGATTAAATTGAGGTGTTGAATGGGATTAAAAACATAAAGATAGAGTGACCATTTCCATTGTGGGGTAATCTCTAATGAAAAGTCAGAGCTTGATGATAAGGGGTAGCATATGTAACCCAGAGATAAGAAGGAAATTTCTCTTTGCGAGAGTCATGAATCGTGAAATTCACTACCCCTGAGTACATAAATGCTGGGACCCAAAATAAATTTCAGGAAGGAAGGGATTTTTTTTCTTTCATTAGTCCTGGCTTAAACCATCATGGTGAGTAGTTAGGAAAGTGGAGTTGAGGCTGAGATGAGATCAGTAATAATTGCATTGAACAGTGGAGCAGGCTCGAACAGCTGAATTACAGACTACTGCTCATAATTCCTATGTTCTTATGGAGAAGGTGAGATGCAAACTGGGCACAGAGATAGAGAAACTTAATATGTTCTTAATAGGTCAGATATAATTGTTTGGAAGGAGTGATATGTTCACATAGTGATCCTGGAACAGAGAGCGGGGTGGAGAGATTTCTTTGCATTTCAGATGTTAAAATGAATTTAGAATCATAATCAGGTGAAATTATAAGGTGTGAAATCATTTAATGAACCAGATTTCCCTGATTTTTTTTTCAATGCTCAGGTATTTAATCAGTGTACTTTGTTACTGACAGTGCTTTCATTCAATTTTTAAAATCTCATTTAATCTACCAGTCCCATTTAAAAATATGCACCATTATCGATTCTGCTTGTAACTTTCCAGTCTTTATGCAGAGTCATATAACCCCTTCATGTCGATGTAGCTGAATCCTTCACTGCTCTCTTCATCCGATTAAATCCAACATGCACATTCTGCAATTCTTTCAAATATTAATATCCATATAAAAAGTAATAATATTAAATCAGAGCAGAGCTTTTTGGTTTTCATAATCGTCCAGCATTGCTTCGCTGCTTTGTTTCCTCTGTTATTTATGCTAACAGACAATATGCCTCTTCATAGCATTATTATCTATTACAGCCAGGCAGTAATTTGCTGCATTGAGACAAAGAGTCTCCGTTTTAAGAGCAATTGTCAAATGATCAATACTGATTTACTACACAATGGTGGAATATTTTTTAAGAAACACTGCATTCAGTATTTTGTTTTTCATGGATTGGTGGACAAATTGGTGAATCTAATGTTTTGTAACAAAATTTTTTCTCCCACTGGCTACAAAATTTGTTAAATCAGTTCATTGTATATGGTATATGTAGAATATGTTACATAGTAGACACAAAAATAACATGGATTTCACAGATTTATTTAAAAGGAAGTGTGGAAATATTCATTGCAAGTCAATTGTTTTATGAGTAAATGAAATGTAGGTGCATGAAAAATTAAGATGACATTATGTTTCAGCTACATGGTCAATTATTATTAACATTATCAAAGATAACTAATCCATTTTTGTGTGCAAACTGCTGCTGACAAGTAGAAAACCCAGATGACAGAAGATCTAAAGGCAATGATTATTTGATTATTAATGATGGAAATTTAATTCTTGCAAGTTTAATTTCATTTGTCACTGTCTATGTGTATCACATGATGAATGAACTCTTGATTTAACATCAAATAAGTAACTATCAAGTGAAAAACACTATTCAAATTTAGAAATGTCCCCTTCTTTCTTATATTTGTAGAGAGTGACATCTATGTCTATATCCATTCTACTAAATGTCTGCGCGCAAAGAAAATGTACATATAAGAATAAATTTCAATATTAGCTTGTCTGCAAACCTGTTTTGTTAACAATTTTAAAGGTAATATGTAACATACATTGGCATGGATATGGCAAGATATAAAGGAGAACTTATACTTCATTATCGCAGCAAGTGAATGAATTATGTTGGAGGCTTTCATAAATGCGACCAAAGTCTAGTTTCTGTTGAAATTGATCACGTAAGAATTTAAAAACCTGTGCAAACCAGGATTAATGTCAACCTCAACTGGGGTGTAGAACACACAGGAATATGCTGTGACTCTGAACACAGCAATATGATCTACATTTCCAATCACATTGGCAGAAAATAAAGCTGTGTTCAAAGTTTAACTCTGGGGAAAGCTTAGTCATTCCTTATATCACATGATTTACAATACAGCCAGCCTCTGCTCTGTGTTCAGGTCTACATAAGCTAAATATATTTGAACACTTTCCTAAAAGGAACGAAGAAATGTCTGAAAATGCACTTTAACCTCTCTCTGAATTTCATCTGAGAGATAGCATAAATGAAGGTATTGATACAGGAACTCAAATCTTGCAACATATATCCAGTTCGCTCCATGATTGTGAAAGGATCATTATTGTCTGTGTGCAAATACTGAACTTCTGTAATCTGCACGCATATATAGTGAATGAAAGTAACCATCCACAACAGTATAAAACTGAAAGATATTAACAGCAATAACATGATAGATTTCCTTCTATGTTCCATTTCTGGGTCACTGTTGCTGCTCTGCATAGCCATCCTAATCTTGTTTGAGAATAGAATGTGTCTAATTGTCAGAAAATTAAGTATCAAAATGAAGAGAAATGGAGTGAATGACAATAAAACTGTGTCAAGCCATAAGAATGCTACCCACAGTGGGACACTGTAGAAGCTAGATTTCAGGATGCAGTGCCATGATATATTGTCAATTACGAAGCAAGGTTCAAAAGTAAAGTAAATTGGCAAATTCTGCAGAATACTTAGTCCCCATATCATTGTAACAAATATTATCGCAGTGTTTTGTCTACAATATTTTCTTCGTATTGTTTGGAAACAAATGGCAGCAAAACGATCAAATGTAAAAGCAACAGTTAGCCATACAGAACATTCAATAGAAGCAAAATGTAGGAAAAATGTCAGACTATGGGCTACTGTATAGTTCAGAAATGACTCCGGGAAGTACAATTCATTGAGTTGGTATAGGATGACATCAAACGTAAGGACCAGTAGATCAGCAGCTGCCATGTTCAGGAGGTAAAGTTTGATACACCTAGAAAGACCGCACTTACCCCGGGCAAGAATCACAATAGTTACCACATTAGCTGTGAGCATAAGAGATGCAATATCAACAATACTTTTTAACCGTAGATATAAATTGTACAATGAAAATGTATGTAATTATTAAAGCAGATTATTAAATGAGGTCATTGGCTCTGCAACAGTTTAAAAGTGAATTCCTGAAAAGGCTGAAAAATCAGTAATTTACATCACATAACAGATTATACTAGAAACCCCGAAGGCAACAACTCTCTGTGGAAATAATGAGATTCCAGAACATATCAAAAAGTGTGGTGCTCAGTTTAAACAAAAATACTGTGTTAATGTTTCAGGAACTACCAAATTTCAAAGAAATTCTTTGAAATTTGGTAGTTCCTGCAACATTAACACATGTCTTTTTGTTTAACTAGAGCACCACACTTTTTGATATTGAGTACAAATTGTATGAATGATATTTTACATAAGAGAAAAAAAGCACACATTATTCCATGGGTATACTTCACTTCTTTTTGTTCAGATAATTCATTTATGTCTGTGGCATTGTAATAATGGTCCAAGTATTCTGCTGGTTATCAGAAATAATTGAACAGTCTATCACAGTGAGCTATTTACCTGCAAGCTACTTTCCAATCAGAATTTTGAGTTGGAATGTGGGCAACTGGGAAAACCAAGGAACAATCCACTCAGCATAGGGCCCCTATTTAAAACCAATACCCACTCTATTTCACAGCACTTACTCTCATGGTCAACAAGGTAAATTAATCCAATCTCCCAAAGGCACTTTGACAGCACTGACACTAACACATGGCTACAGTAAGCCAAATTAAATCAGCATTTCTGTCACTGGATTCATAGCGCATTAAAATCAAAATAATCAATGAGACTCAAAATTACTCAAAGGTTCCTAACCAGGTTTCAAGAATAAAAGATATCAGAAACTAAATTTATTCCTTAAACAGAAATTACCAATGTATTGTTCATACTATAAGGTTAGCAGACCAAAGCTATACAACATGGTAATTTAATTAATGTCTATGATTTAAACCAATCTTCTTTTGACATATCTCCCTCTCACACAGAAACAGACAGACAGAAATACAGACAGAGATAGTTAGTGGATAACTTAAATGAAAAATAAGAGAGTTGTAATTCACCAGTTCAATAACCATTTCACAAGTTGTTAAACGTGTTCAAGAGAATTGTCTTTATCAATAAGTAGATATTGTTACTAGAGGATCTTGAACTTCTCTTGGAAAGTAAGACAGGGCAAGTGACTGAAATATTAGTAGAACAATTTGAGTCTAGTGATCATCATACTATTTGTTTGAAAATGGTTATGGAAAAGGATATGTCTTCTATAGAAGTTGAAATTCTAAGGAAAATTTTAATGGTATGAGACAAGAACTTTCAAAAGTTCATTGGAGTAGACTGTTTGCAGTGAAGGGATGACTGACAAGTGGGAGGCCTTCTAAATTGCGATAACAACAGTTCAGAGGCATTATGCTCCTGTTAGAGTGAAGGCCAAGGTTGGTAAGTTAAGGGAGCAATGGATGTAAAAGATACTGAGGCTCTGGTCAAGAATTTTTTAAACATTTTGTATATTTGTTATAGACAAATAAGATCAACTGAATCTCTTGAAGAGTGTAAAGAGTGTAGAAGCATTCTTAAGAGGGAAATCAGGAGGGCAAAGACAGCATATAAGATAGCATTGACTGATAAGTTTAAGGATAAATCAAGGAAATTCTATAAATACATTGGGAGGAAGACAGCAACTGGACAGTGCAGGACACCTTAAGGATCAAAGAGTTTTTTTTTATGTTGGACCTCGGGAGATGGGAGAGATATTAAATGTATGTTTTAGTTCTTACTGTTGAGGAAGAAATGGAGGCTGGAGAACTCGGGAAAGTAAATATTGATCTCTTCAAAAAAGTTCAAGTTACAGACGAAGAAGTGCCGGAGGTCTTAAAAAATGTAAACATAGATAAATCCCCGGTATCAAGTATATCACAGGATGTTTTGGGAAGTTAGGGCAGAAGTTATAATGCACTCTGCAGAAATATTTGTATAATTTAGAACCACAGGTGAGGTGCTGGAGGACTAGAGAGTGAGTAATGTTGTGCTATTGTTTAAGAAAGCTGTTAGGAGAAGTCTGGGAGCTATTGACCTGTGATATGACTGCTGTGGTAGGTATGTTGCTGGCGATGATTTTGAAAGATAGAATTTGCATGGATTTGGAGAGGCGAGGAATGATTAGAAATAGTCAACATGGTTTTGTGCGAGGAAAGTTGTGTCTCACAAATTTGGTTGTTATTTTTTTTTGAAACAAGTAACCAAAAAGATTGAAACCAGAGTGGTAGACGTTGTTTACTTGGACTTCAATAAAAACCTTGTCAAGGTTCCACACAATAGACTAATTAGTAAAGTTAGATCACATGGGATTCAGGATGAGCTTGCCAATTGGGTACAAAATTGGCTTAATGCTTAGAGACAGATGGGTGGTGATGGAGGATTGTTTTTGTTTCCACTGGAGGACTGTGACCAGCAGTGTTCCAGAGGAATCAGTACTGGTTCCACCTTAGTTTATCATTTACAGAAATGATTTGGACCATAATATAGCAAGCATGCTTAGTGAGTTTGCCTACAACAGCAAAATTGATGATATAGTGGATATTGAAGAAGGTCACCAATGATTACAAAGACTTCTTGATCTGTTGGGTCAATGAGCTAAGGAATGTAAGATTGAGATTAACTTGGGTACTTCATTTGGATATTGCGAGGTATTGCAATTAGGTAAAACAAAAGCAAAGCAGGGTAATACAATTAATGGTGGTATTATAGAACAGGAATATCGAGCAGTTCAGGTACATAATTCTTTGAAATTTGCATCACAGCTAAACAGAGTGGTTAAGAAGTTGTCCAGCACAGCTGCCTTCATTACTCAGAAGTTTGAGTGTAGGAGTTGGGACGTTATATTGAGGTTGCACAGGACATTGGTTGGACCGCTTCTGAAGTACTCTGTGTTGTTCCGGCTCCCTGTTATAGAAAGGATATTTTGATCAGCAGACAGTTCAGAAAGGATGTTACCAGGGTGCTGCTGGGAATGGAGGGTTTGTGTTATAAAAATTGACTGGAAAGGCTGGGACTTTCTTCACTTGAACATAGGAGTTTGAGAGATGACGTTGTTTAGGTTTATAAATTAATGAAGGGCATAGATAAGGGGGGAAAGGTATTTTCCCTATAATGGGGTAGTTCAAATCTGGAGTGCATAGTTTTTAAGGTGGGAGAGAAAGATTTGGAAAAGGACGTGAAGGGCAACGTTTTGACACAGAGTGGCTTATGTGTGGAATGAATAGCCAGAGGAAGTGGTGGATACAGGTACATTTATAGTCTTTAAAATATATTTGGATAAGTACATGAATAGGAAAGATTTGGAGGGATATGGGCCAAGCACAGGTAGCTGGGATTAGTTTAGTTTTGGAACATGGTCAGCATGGACTGGTTGGACCTAAAGGTCTGTTTCTATGCTATGTGACTGTATGACCATAAATCAACTTTATCACTGAATTTTATATAATGAGACTGATTAGTAATCTCCATGAACACCCAAATTACAACGTCTCCTTTAATGAGCCCTCAAGATGACAAATGGCATCATAAGATATCATCGATGACTGAATTTCTCCTGTGTTGATTGATATCCTTTATGGTTTACCACCTTATTTGAAACTGAAGTTCATACTTCTGCCTTAAGATAAAATATTCAGAGATTACAGCAGTCTGATTCTAATTGCCAACTTTCTAAAAAATAATCTCGTGACCACCCTGATGTAACTCCCTTTTCAGCCAGTCCAGGTAAGCATGTTCTTTTTATATCATTGCTACGGATTTAATATATAATTCCTTTTCAGATGCCTCCTTGTGTGAAGATTATTTCAAGTTCCCTTATTATCCCAATCGAACACCCATTTATTTTCCAGGAATTGAATTTGTTATTTACAGTCTTAATATATTAAAAAGACATGTTAATTGCTTTACTTCACATTTTGGTTGCAGCCTTTCTCTCTATTATTTTGACGTCCTTCTGTATGTTCCATAAAAGTTATTCTTTCTGCAATAATTATACTTCTTCAGTTTCCTTCTAGATTTCTATGCAATCATTTCCCCATTTGCAATGATCTGACCAAAGTTTCATAGATATTTACAGAAACGCTAGTTCTCTGATCTTCAATACTTCGCTTACCTAATAAAACATCACATTTACAGCAATGCTATTTCTATTTTTTTTTCTCAATGCTTACCACTTTTCATTTACTCTCAAAATTCTCATTTTCTTGAGATTAATTAATCTAAACCATTTGCACCACTGATTTAGCAGCATCTTTTTTTTTCTTCCCTTGAAAATTCCACAAATGTCAGGTTACGTTTATTTCTTACAATGCTAAATTTCAATCCATAACCTTCAGCCACAAGATTGTGATAATTGAGTGCTGTG